GGGGCCGTCCTGGGTGGGGGTGGGGGGAACTTGCCTTTTCTTTACCCTTTTCTTAACTCTTTTTGTAAAATCCATGCCCGCCCGCCCCCTCCCAGCCCCTCGGAGCGACTTAACAAGTTTTCACGCTTCGCTAAGGAAGTTGCGGCCGCGGCTCGGGGGGGCGGCGGGAGGGTTCCCCCCCGTGCGCGGGGGTCGCGGCAGGGAAGGGGCGGGGGGCAGCGGCCGCCCCGCGGGGTCCGGTACCGGCTCTGGATCCGGACCTGGTTCCGGATTCCGATCTGGTCCAGGTTCGGGTCCTGATCTTTTGGGTAATTCCTGCCGTTGGGAGCAGGAAGCCTGTGCCTGGCGGCTGGCTGTGTCTCCGGAGTGTTTCTGCTCGCCCCACTCCCTGGGCAAATCGCCCGGGGCCGCGGGACACCCGATGCTGGATTCAGGGACCAGGGGTGGGGTGGGACTCAGGACGGGGCAGCGGAACCGGGGCCGAGGCTGGGGAGCTGGTTCCGAGCAGCAGCGGGGCCGGTGGAGCAGGGCCTGCGGTGCCCGTGCCGGGCAGCACGTGGGGTCACGGTGCAACAAAGGTCCTTCCCCGCGGGCTCCGACTGCCGGCGCAGGGAGGGCCGTTCCCAGGGATGCGCCTGGACCGGTGCTCCCTGGGCTTGCAAGGGGCCCCTGGGTTGGGAGAGACGCAGTCGGGCTGTGCCTGGGGACCTGGATATCGAGGGGGTGCAGGCTGCAGTGGGGAGCACTTGCCCCCCCCCATGGATGCCCAGCACTCCCCAGCGCTGCTGCTCGGTCTGATCCATCGGCCGCTGCTGGCTGCACGAGCCCCTGTCCCAGGGTCATGGCCCTCTGGGACCAGGATCAGGCCGGGGTTTGGGGGATCCCCCCTGCACTGCTCTCCCTGGGGAAGGTCCCCAGGCCCTCGTGCTGGCCCCTGCTCAGAGCTGGGCTCCTGCCACGGCCTCTGGCTCCTGCTGCAGCAGCTGAAGGGAAAAAATAGCCTGGAGACGATGTGGACACCCTGCGATGCCCCCCAGCTGCTGCCGAGCACGGAACAGGGCTCTCCGGCTGGTGCCGAGCTTGGCCCGGGGTGGTGCTGGGTCCCTGGCCGTGGTGGCTGCTGCTGTGGCTGCGGTGGCTGGTGTCCCCAGCTGCAGCGCCTGGGTGTTAGCTGCACGACACACTGGGAGGAGGGCAAAGGGCAGGGAGCGCGGGGTGGCACATGCCAACAGGAAGCTGTGCCCTGCTGTGCCCTGCTGTGCCCTCCGGCCTTGGCACCTCCGGCCAGTCCGCGAGGAACATTGGCCATGGCCAGGGCCTGCAGTTCCTCCCGGGCTCTGCCATCTCCCTGGCTCCCTGCTTGCTTCCCATGGGAGCCCTCCAGCCGCCGGCAGGGCCTGGCCTGGGAGCTGCTCCCACCTGCCTGAGCAGGGCCCCCTGCCCGGGCAGGGCGAGCGCAGGAGCAGGAGCGGGGCCGGGCGGCGCTGGGCGGGCGGCCTCGCTCGCTGCTGACTCACGGCCACGAGCGCCCGGCGGGTCCCGCAGCCTCCACACGGTCGGTCCATCCTCTGCTTCCTTCTCCTGGGAAAGGCGTCTCCGCCGCCCTGTCCCGCGGCCACGGGGTGAGAGGGGAGCTGGGGGCGGCGGGGCTGGCAGCAGCACGTGCGGGAGGCGACGCCGGAGGCGCCGGCAGAGCGGGAGCAGGAGCAGGAAGGCGCGGGTTATGGCCCGTCCCGTGCTGCCTTTATGGCTGGGCTGGGGCCGTGGCAGCGGCGGCGTGGGCAGGGGAGCCAGTGCCAGGCGGCTGCTGGCAGCTGGACTTCGCTCTGCGAGGTGGGGCCGCCGGGCGCCTCTCTCCCAACGCCGGCAGCGCGGGGCCGCGGAAGCAGGGGCGTCCACGGGGCATCCTCTGCCCCACCTTGGATGAGCTCCCCTCCGCGCTGGGAAGGGCCTGGAGCCGGGGGCGGCAGCTGGGGCCGGGGGATGCTCGGGCTGTGCTCGGGGCTCACGCCGCTCGCCCGCAGGCGCCGGCCGAGGAAGGGAGCGCCGGGCCGGGCGCCGGGCCGCCCCCCATGGCCGCCGGCCCCCCGACGTGACGCCCGCCAAGCTGGACATCCCGCCGGAGCGCCCGCCCGCGCAGCCCGCCCGAGCCCCCGCGCCCCGCCGCGATGCCGCCACCATCACCGGTGGGTAGCGCGGGACGAGCGGGCGCCGGGGCTGCCGGGGCTCGCGGCGCGGTGGCCACGAGGTGGCAGCAGGAGCCGCGGGAGCTGCGGGGAGACGGGAGTGGGAGGGGATCCCGCAATGGGACCCCCGAGTGGGGAGCGCTGAGCAGCCCCGTAGGGCTGGGGCAGCCCCAAACCAGGCGAGGCGGCTTGGGGGTGCAGCGGGCGGTGCAGCACTAGGGTGGCACCCCTGCACCCCCATGTCAGCCGGGATCGCGGTGACGCGGCTGCCCGGCCCCCCTAGATCTGCACAGCGGCGGTGACGTCCCCGAGGTGGAGATCGTCAGCCTGCTGGGCGAGCCGCTGCCGCGCTACACGCTGCGCGCCGACTCCGTCTTCGGCTACGAGCACGACGACTGGCTGCGCGCGCCGCCGCTGCCGCCCGGCGCCGCCGCCGCCCTCACGCCCCGGCAGCTCGAGGAGACTCTGCGCTACTTCGGTGAGCGCCCGGCGCGGGCGCGACGCCTCCGCCGCAGCTAATCGGAGCTAACGGGATTGCCGGGCTGGATTTCCTCGCGCAGAACATCCCGGGCTAATTCCCGGAGCTGCTTCTGCGGAGCTGAGCCGGATGCGCAGAGGGGGAGAGATCCGTGTGGCCGGGCTGTAGCTGCCGGGTGGGAATGGGACCCGCCGTGTCATGGAGATTGCAGCGGGGGCTTTGGGGATGCCGAGCGCATCCACTGCCTCTGGAGCATGAGGCAGGGAATGGTCACTGGCAGGAGCAGCTAAGGTGATGCTGGGATACAGGGGATGATCCCTAGCTCCAGCATCCTGGGATTCAGGCACCCGGAGCTGCCTGCAATGGGCAACATCGTGGACAGCATGTGTGGCCATCATTGCAGGTCGGTTCCCAACCAGGCGCCCGCGCTGTCAGGGGGCACAGACGGGATTAGCTGCGATCCGTTGTCATCCCCGCCTTGGCCTACATGTGCAGGGGGCGGGCGCAGGATTAGGTGCTGGGGCCGGGCTGGGGAAGTGGGGCAGTAGGGACAGATGGGGCTGGCGGCTGGGCCCCCCGCCCACCCCGTCCCTTCCCCTGCTGCTGCTGCCGTGCTCGGCTGTGGGCGCAGAGCAAGGAGCGCACGGAGGCCCCTCCAGCCCCGCGGCCACGTTCCTGCCCAGCACCTGGTGCCACTGGTGGCTGCCGCCGGGGCAGGGGCCCGGGCAGCCTCATGCCCTCCCCCCTCCTAAGCTGCCCTCAGAAATAGCCCCCCGTAATCTGCTTGCGCAGAGGCACCGCGGCGGGACCTGCCCGCAGGAGCAAATCCCCCGCAGCGGATTAGGAAGAAGCAGCTCCTGCCTTTCCAGGAAGCGCCTCGTGCGAGGGGCCCAGAGCAGCTCGCGGGATGCCCGGACCCAGCCCCGGGGGAGCCGTCCGCAGTGGGACATGGGGCTTCGGGATCCCAGGCGCTGGTGCAGCTGGTGGGAGCCCCATGAGCAGATAAAGCCGTGGTTCAGTGCAAGGGGGCAGCTCTGCCACCCGCCACGGTCTGGGACTCATGCAGTAGTGACCATGAGCGCCGGGGGGTGGACATGGTGCGTTTGTCCACACTGGAGGCCTGGCCCGCCCGGTGCGCTGTGCAGGATGCACCGCCCTGCTGCCTCCCGCCTGCGGTGCCTGCGCCACAGGCTGGCAGCTCCTCTATAATTTATGGCCGTTGTTATTTATTTATCTGCTTCTGCGGGCCTGTGTGGGGTGGGGGGAACCGTGGGTGCTGCTGAGGCGTCACCCCAGCCCCTCTCCTCCGTGGAGCATGGGTGGTGACAGCAGAGGGAGACCCCGAGGTGGGCATATGGGGCCGGGTGGCCCCAGGTGAGGGGCAGGGGAGCTGAGCACCCTGCGCAAGCTGCCTTTGGGGTGAGAGTCCCCAAATCTCCCCTCACCGGGGACAGAAGCTGCTGCCTGCGCGTGGCCCCTCTGGGGCAGCCCCAGAGCTGCTGCTGCGACCCCTCGGCGGCGTCCCCGACATCAGGGCTGGGGTGCCCTCATGGGCGCCGTGTCCCCAAGAAGCCCCCGTGGTGCCCCCAGCCCCGGGCCGCCTCCGCGGCGCCCGGGGCTCGCCGTGGGCCCGGGGGCGGGCGCGGAGCGGAGCGGGGCGGCTCCCGGACCGCCCCCAGCCCCGCGCCCGCCCCCGGCCGCGGCCGCGCCGCAGGTGCGCGCGGACCCTATAAGAGGGGCCGGAGGCGGCGGCGCGGCCGGACGCGGCCCGGTTCGGCCCGGCCCGGGGTGGAGCAGCCGGACGCGGCTCCGTTCGGGTCAGTCTGGCCCGGCTGGACGCGCTCTCGCCATGGAGATCTGGAGCAGTCCTGCTGCCTATGATGAGCTGAGCGGGAGCGCGGAGCCGGGCGGCGGCACCGACCCCATTGCCCGCGAGCTGGAGGAAGGTGAGACCGGCCCCGCGCGGCTCCCTTCGGTTCGGTGCAGCCCGGCCCGGCGTGGCCTTGCTCGACTCCGGCTCCCGGGGTGTTGGGCTGTGCGGCAGCAGCTCCCGTGGGACCGCAGGGTCCGGCGTGGGTGGTGTTGGTGCCGCAGGGTCCTCAGTGGGGCAGCCCCCATCCTGCACCCCATCCCATGGGAGCTAGTGGAGGTGCTTGCGGGAGCTGCTGGCCCCTCATCCATCAGGGGCTTGGCCCAGGCCTTGCTTCCGTCTGGAACGGGTGTCCCTGCTGTGGCCGAGCCACCTGCAGTGGGGCTGCAGGTCCCCACGGGTCGGGGGTCTGTGGGGAAGCGCGCGCAGCCCCTGCGTGGGGAGGGTGCTTGGTGCATACGTGTTTGCGGGCGCCGCAGCCCCAGCGGCTCCCAGGGCTGCCGCTTGCTCCCGCCCTAACGATGCTCATGCTCTAATTACTTCCAATTATGGCTCGTCCGCCTGATGAGGCGCAGTTGGGACCCCTGCCGGGAACGGGCCCCCACCGGATAGGGATAGCCCAGCCTGGCCCCGCTGTCCCTGTGGATGCGGCAGTGGGATCTGCCCGCTTGGAGCCGGGCAGCGTGGCGGGGGCGGACGGTGGGGACATGGTCCTGGCAGCGCCCCGTGATGCCACCCGCGGCAGGGGCAACACGGTGGGGTCTGTGCCCTGGAGCTGCTCCTGCTAACCTGGTTCTTGCAGTGGGCACAGCGGTGGCTGGTGCCAGGCCCTGAGCAGAGCCAGCAGCTCCGGCAAGGGGAAAGGGGGCACGAGCCCCATGGGGCTGGGGCAGAGCGGGTGACGGGGTCCCAGGGCCTCGCGCTCGGTGTCGGCCATGTCCTGCCACGCAGCTCCAGCGCTGCCATCCGGACCCCTGTCCGGCCCTTCCTGGCAGCCACTGCGAGTGTCCTTGTCAGGATGGGTGCCTGGGGGCCACTGTCCCGGCCTTGTCCTGCTCCTCCCGATGCGACGCGCAGATCCAGCCTTGCGCCGAGCGCTCGGGATAACCCACCCGCGTCCCATCCCCTTGCTCCCGGCTGCCACAACGTGCCACGACGCTGCTGCATATGCTGGGAGCCGGGCTGAGCCCTGCGAGCGCTCGAGCCCTGCGCTCCAGCTGCGGCTGCCGTCCGCGCCGAGAAAATAGGGCAGCGCCGGCTGGGGGGATTTGGGGGAGGGCGCTTGAGACAGATTGAAGGTGACAGAGCCACGCAGCCCAGCGCCACGCGATGCCACCGATTCCTGTTGATGCCGAGTTTCGTGCCCAGCTTCTTGCTGGAGATGTCGCCTGTGATCCCGTCTCGGCCGTTTCCCTGCGCTCTCCTTCCTGCCTGCGTGCTGTCCGGAGGCCGGGCGGGCAGCGCGGGCGGGTGATGGTTTTGGAGCGAGGAGGTCAGCGCGTGGCGCCGGCGCAGGGTGGGAGTAGCGCGGTCCCCCGCTCTGCTCCGTTGCATGGAGGCTGCTGGTGCTGGGTGAATTTGGGGTGCCCACATGGAGCACCAGTGCACCCCGCAAGCCCGGTGGGGTGGTGAGGGCGGAGCAGAGGCGTGGGGCTGGTGTCTGTGCAGTGAGCTGCGTCCGTGTTCTGCACGGGCAGTGCTCAGTGGTCACCCTCACTTCCCAGTGCTGTGTGCCGAGCGGGTGAGCAGGGTCACCAAGACCTACCACGACATTGACGCTGTCACTAACCTGCTGGAAGAGGTAACGCAGGGGCCGGCGGGACGTGTGGGTGGGCGAGGGGGGCCTGGGTGACGCCGTCCTGTCCCCCACCTCCGCAGAAGGAGCGGGACCTGGAGCTGGCCGCACGCATCGGGCAGTCGCTGCTGAAGCAGAACCGGAGCCTGACGGAGCGCAACGAGCTGCTGGAGGAGCAGCTGGAGCTGGCCAAGGAGGAGGTGCTGGGAAGGGGCCGGGGGGCCGGGGGTCCCGCTGCCTGCTCGCCCTCACGCCGCGACCCCCCGCAGATCGCCCAGCTGCGCCACGAGGTCTCCATGCGCGACGACCTGCTGCACTTCTACACCACGAGCACGGAGGAGAGCGAACCGGGCTCGGCCGCGTCCACGCCGTGAGCGCTGGGCCGGGGCTGGGGGGCCGGGGGGGCCGCGTGCGGCGCCTCTCAGCTCCCCCGCGCTCCGCAGGCTGCGCCGGAGCGAGTCCTCGCCCTCGCTGCAGCACTACCTGCAGTACGACGTCCTGCAGCAGAAGCTCAAGGGCCTCGAGGAGGAGAACCAGAAGCTGCGCCTGGAGGTGAGGGGGGGCCCGACGGGGTGCACGGAGCCGCTGCGAAGGCCGCCAAAAGAGTTGGGCCAGCGGTACCCTGGGGAGGCTGGTGGCTGCACTTGGCCCCTTTCTGCTCGCCCAGGCCACCAGCATCGCCACCGAGACCTGCCAGTACGAGGAGCAGGAGCAGCAGCTGATGATTGACTGCGTGGAGCAGTTCTGTACGTGGGGGCCGGGCGGCACGCGGGGCCGGCGTGTGCGGGGGGCACCCCGGTGACGTCCCCGCCGGGTCCCCTGCAGCCGAGGCCAGCCGGCAGGTGAGCCGCCTCTCGGAGGAGCTGGCGCGCAAGGCGGAGGACACGGCGCGGCAGCAGGAGGAGATCAGCCAGCTCCTGGCGCAGGTGGTGGAGCTGCAGCACAAGTGCCGCACGGTGAGCGCCCCGGCCCCGCGCGTCCCCGTGCCCATCCCCGCGGCGGGCGGCAGCCGCGTCCTCACCGCTCGCGCCCGCAGTACGGCTCCGAGGTGGAGGAGCTCCAGCAGCACCTGGCCCTGGCCAAGGAGGTGCAGCAGCAGCTGCGGACGGAGGTGAGAGCGGCCGGGGCCACGCGGGGACACGGGAAGGACCCTGTCCCGCGCGCTGACGCGGCGCCGCCGCCGCAGCTGCGCGACCTGCAGGAGAAGTACGCGGAGTGCGGCGGGATGCTGCAGGAGGCCCGCGCCGAGGTGAAGAGCCTGCGCAGCCGCAGCCTGCCCAGCGGCGCCGTGGGCCGCTACGGAGCGCCCAGCCTGCTGCCCCTGGTGAGCCCGCGCGCCGCCGCGGCCCGCGCCGCCCGCCCGCGCCGCTCACCCGGCCCCTTCCGCAGGACTCGCTGGCGGCCGAGATCAAGGGCTCCATGCGCAAGGGCGCCGAGGGCTCCTCCTCGGACTACAGGTGAGTGCGGGGTGTGGGGAGCCCGGGGCTGGTGGGGCCGTGGTGGCACCAGCTCCATGGGCACATCCCCCCCCGCAGGAGCTGCCTGCGCGTCTTCGAGACGGTGAAGGCCGTGAACCAGGCGGCCAGGGCCCGCTCGAGCTGCGAGTCGCAGCCCTCGGGCCCGTCCTCGGCGGGGACCAGCACCCCCCACGGCAGTGGCCCCGGCCCCGCCGCAGGCGCTCGGTGAGCCCAAATCCGGGCGCTCTCCGGGGCGCTGCTCCCGCCGGGACGGAGCGGAGCCCTCGCTGACGCCAGCGCTCCGGCAGGGCCGCGGCGGCCGGAGCGGCGCTGGAGGCAGCCGTGCAGCAGCTCTCGGTGCGCCAGGAGAGCCACGCGGCCGAGCGCTCCTTCTTCGACACGGAGCGGGAGCACAAGCTGCGGCGCCTGCACGAGGCCGAGGGCTCCAGCGGCGCCCTCAGCCCCACCGGCAGCGTCGCCTCCGCCGGCTCCGGCGCCTCCGAGCTCACAGCCGCCTCTGGCTTCTCCCTGGGCTCCCTCTCCTACCTGCCTGACAAGCTGCAGATTGTGAAGCCCCTGGAAGGTGCAGGGGGAGCCCGGGGTCCTTCCCATGGTCCCAGCTATGTCCTGGCCTTCCCGTGGTCCCGCCTGGGTCCTGCGGTGCCAGCTCAGCCCCTGTGTCCCCTCCAGGCTCGGTGACGCTCCACCACTGGCAGCAGCTGGCACGGCCCGACCTGGGCGGCATCCTGGTGCCGCGGCCTGGCGTCCTCACCAAGGACTTCCGTCAGCTGGACGTGGACCTGGAGCAGGTCTACACGCTGGCCGACCTGGAGGAGGACGACGTGGACGCGGGCGCCTTCGCGCGGCTCCCGACGTCGACGCCGGCCCCGGAGCGGCGCGGCGGTGAGCGCGGGGCCGGGGGCGGCCGCCGCATGCCCCCCGCGCTGCCGCTCTGCCCCCCGCTCCGCTCCTGTCCCTCCTGCGTGTCTGTTCCCGCTGCTCCTTCTCCGCCCTCCTGCACGGCCGCAGCCCGGGGCAGCTCTGCTGAGCCCCCAGCCTGGCTGTGATGCGGGCGATCCGGGTGGGATTGCAGCCTCCTGATGCCGCCCGTGCCCCTGCTCCCTGCATGCTGGTGCCGCCTCTCCCTGGCCCCCCGCTCCCGTAACCCGCGCTCTCCTGTCCCTTCCAGTGTTCCTCTCTGTTAACAACCTCCCCCAGACCCCATCCACCTTCACCATCACCACCTGCCACGTCCTGCACCCCACCACCGAGAGCACCAGGGTGACAGCCAGGTAAGGGGGTGTCACTCTGCCTGCCCCGGCCCCACTGCCTCCCTCCCCCTTGCCACATTGAGCCTGCAGCTGGGGCCTGGGCACCCGTCCTTGCTCCCTGTGGATGTTGACAGCCCTGCCCGAGCCGGGACTAGAGCAGCACTCGTCCCATGGGTGCAGGGAGATGATTCACCTGGGAGCCGACACTCGCTTTGCCGCCTCCTTTATGTTCCCCGAGGGCCCCAGGCCAGCGCCGGAGCCGTCTCCAGGGCTGCTCCCTTTCGCTTCCCTCGTGTCTGTACCGCTTGTTCCCAGCTCTCCCCCTGCATTCCTGCCCCACCTCCCTCTTCCCTTGGCTGCCTCCCTGACCAGGAGCAGGGGTCCTGGGGGGGTCGATGGGGGTGGAGGGGGCTCCTTAAGCACTTCTAGCTCTTGCACATGTCTGGGGGGCAGCGCATGGAGCCTGGCCCCACAGTGGTGTGGGGCAGCACTAGCCCAGCCCCTGTTATTGCTGCATGCAGCCAGTGCCAGGCTCTGCAGCCTCCTTGAGGCCGGGAGGGGCTGGGGCAGGGCGGGTGCTGGGGGGCAAGGCGGGCGCCGCTGACCCCGCTGCTCTCTCCCCTGCAGCCTCCCTCCCGCGGCCGTGCCTTCTTGTGGGCCCTTTGCGGGGCTGAGCGGCGGCGCGGAGCCGCCCCGCGCCCCCACGGGCCTCGTGCCGCTGCTGCTGGCGCGGGGCATCTCGGCGGGGCGCCCGCCGGCGCCCGGCAGCATCTTCAGCCTCAACCTGGTGGCCAAGCTGCGGCGCCTGGGGCTGGACCGCGTGGTGGCCCGAGGGGAGACGTCCTACGCGCAGGGCGCGCACGGGGACGGCGCCACGTGACGGCCGGGCACCCGCGGCCGCCCCTCCTGCCGTGGGGCCCGGCGCCGGCCTCGGCACCATGGGGCCCTGCTGAGGTTTTTCTCAGGGAAAGCAGGCGGGCTCCCCGCCCCGGCTGCCTGGACGTGGAGCAGCGCCCGGCCGGGGCTGCGCGGGAGCTCCTGATGCACCAAGAACAGTTCCTGCGCCACCAGCCTCGGGACTGCGAGACACCGGACTCCACCAGCTGGAGCTGGGGCAGCCCAAGGGCTGCTTTTAAAGCAAAGTCGTGTTTTGTTGTTCAGCTGTTAAGCCCAGTAAGTAGAAAGGGGAGGAAAGGTTCCCTCCTGTGCCCTCACTCGCGTTTGTTTCGGCTGGTGCATCCCAGGCACCAGCTCTGTCCAATAAACGTGACACAGTGGAAGAGCCGCCGCCTCTGCAGCCGCCCGTCCCAGCTCCACGCACGTGGGACGGGCATTCCCGAGGACGGGAACGCCTGCAAGCTCGCGCAGCCGTCCCACGAAAGAAGGGCACGTGGGGCTGCAGCGCCCAAGGGCTTTATTGGGGGAGCCGGGGCGCGAGCGGGCGGGGCGGCGCGCTAGGCGGCCTCGCCGGCGCTGCGGCGGCCGAAGTCCATCCAGTCGGGGTAGTAGTAGTGCTCGTGCAGGGCCTCGGCGTCGGGCGGCGCGGGGCCCAGGCGCG